ATACTGCGTCAATGAGGACGACAATCACCTATAGGCATTCGCAAGAAACCGTACTGCTTGAGCTCCACTAAGAGTCCATATTGAGACGCCTCAGCTAGCTGGGCCGTGCCTCTCGCACGTCGAGAGAGAGAAGGCCCAGGCCATGGTGCGGTCGAGGTTCGGTGCTCCGATGACAAGTAGGGTCGGTCGGTATGCCCCATTTCCTTCCACCCTCCACTTCTCGGCCCGCAACTCTCTCTCTCTCTCGTGACAAACAGGACTCGATAACTCTAAACTGGAGTATGTTGGGCTTCGACAAATGGAGGAGTTTACCTCCGGCGAAAGCCTCGTCAGCCGGGTCGTTTGTCGGCGTGTCGCGCTGCCTCTTGGCACAACGCCCTGCGACCCTCCACACACTTACTCGCATGGCTTTTACGGTAGTCATTTCTCCCAAAAAATGATAGTAAAACCTGTCAGTGTTGCGGAACTGGGTCAAACAGCGTGGGGTTGCTGTCGGAGGAGTTTTCACCGCCAACGTGGAAAACACCCTCCTGATAGGCATCCCGAGTCATCCGAGAGGAAGGGGGGGGGGGGCACCTGGCGCAGGGAACTCGGGATGGGGTGCTTCGTTGACCAACTCGATCTCGGGGGACATCAAGCACCTCCTACCCCTGCTCCCTATCCCCATTCCAGGCCAAAGCGAGACAACCCTAGAGGGCCCCTAATTTGTTGTTAACGAGTTGAGCAACAGATTACGGACATCAGAGACTCCGGGGACCGGTGTGCTGTGCACCGGGTCCAGCGCCGGGATTCAGAGGCGCGCACCTCAAATAGCCTTCGCAAACTTGACGCAACTTGAGGGTGATAACCATCAGCACAGGTGAGGTGACAAACAAGAGAGGGCAGGCTTACCAACGTGAAGAACACGCGAAGACTATACGAACGTAGCAACGACATACCTGAAACAGGGAGAAATTGACCATGAGTACGAATTGAATACGTTTCCCCATTTTCCGGGGCAGGCGAGGGGTGGCGTCAGGGGTAGCGCCCAAGGGGTAGTGCCGGAGCCGGGCCACGCCTGGCACTGGAGTAGCGACGCTCCGGTGGGATTCGGAAGCGCAGCGCCCCAAGCGGCACGGGGGAAAAGCTGCTCTGAAAACTTGGGGAAGTCATCGGCCTTCCCGCTGGGGTAGGGGAAAAGTTCAGCTGACGTCGAGTGGAAGGAGGTAGGAGGGAGAAGAAGTGCGAAGAGGAGCGTTTGACGGGAGAGACAGAGACAGGCTGACTTTGTTTGCAAACATGCTCTCTCAACTCAAATACGTACATTGTCTACATGAAAGAAAGTAGACTTGCACATGTCTATTGAAAGAGGTACACAAATAGTCCTTGGTGACTACTTTCATTAGTGTAGACAATGTACGTATTTGAGTGGGCCGAGTGGAAGTGGACAGAGCGAAAAAACGTGAGATAAAGGAAAAAACGATACGCAGCGTATTAACTGACAAACCGCTAATCCTGGTACCTCATGTATATGCTACCAGATGAAGCCATCCCAAAAACGCGAGGCAGCCCTCTCTCGAATGTCGAAAACAGCTGTTTTTGTTGGGAGTAGTTCGGCCAACTCAGCTCAGTAGCTGTTTGGGCATTGAGTGCTGTTGCCACACAAACTGGTTAGAGGGATAGAGCGAAATGGGAGAGACGGGGGGTGGGGGTTAGGGCACGGGAAAAGCGATATATAATGATGGAGAAAGCCCGAGTAATGGCACTGCTGCCGTGAGGACACGCTTTTGGCCCTTATAGCTTATTTTGAGGAAAGAATGGGTCATGCCGCAACCTCTCTTACCTGAGCCACTTTCTCCCCCATGTTGGGTGTGTGCAGGGCACCTTGAAAAAACTTCGCAGAACCATTGTCTTGGATAGAGAACTGCACACAGAGACGAAAAGAGAAAAGGATCCATCACAAAGAATATGGATTGTCGTTCAAACAATAATAATAGGACGGGCCAACTGAGCAAACAGGAAGAGTGAAGACTTTGGTGGCCATTTGTTACCTTCTGTTTGAGGCTGTCTGAGGCGACGTTGCTGAGAGAGGGCGATTTCCGCTCCCGACTCGAGCGGTCCCAGAATCCTTGGGCGGTGCGATAGCGCTGGAGGTCAGTCTCAGAGGAAGTGTTGGGGAACATTTTGCTGGTGACGTGGCGCGCTGCAAAGAAGAGTAGACAGTGTCTTTGAGCTCTCATTTCTTTCCCTTCACCCATTTCCACTCCGCAAAGGCAAGTGTATGGACAATAGTGTATTAGATAGTTATACTGGTACACTGGCCATTAGGAAAGAGTTAATTATGTTTCAAAGAGTATGAGTACCGGGTGTAACTGTGAATAAACAGCAGTTTTGCGGGTTTGCCTACTTTTTACACCTGTAAAGGGCATGGCCCCTGTGGCCATATTGGGTATGCAATCTCGAAACACTGCTGCGTATTCACAGCTACGCCCGGCACACTTCAGTTTCTGTTGTGCAGAACGTGCACAGGTGTTTAATCGCTGCTTTCCAAAAACAGGAAAAACAAGGCACTTAATAGGTATCCTCTGCAGTGGATAGGCAGACCTCGCGTCATCCCCCTCAAGAAGAGCAGGATGTGGTGGGTCAGCCTACCTACTGCAGATTATGGCGTGGATGCGCCACCCTGTAGCTCTAATAGTGCTCATATTTGCAAGCATTGCTTCACACACTTGCTTTTGCAGAGCATTAATCTCATGTCAGGTGAGGTGGTGAGGTATAATTTTTAATTCCCGTGGTATACACATTTGAGGTTCAAAGGAGAATTTGTGGTGCCCTAGTAACATGAAACTGTCGAACAAATGTTGTACCCAAAACAGGAAAAAGAATATCGAACGCATTTAGGGAGTATTGCATGACATTAGATAAGACTATTTCTACTATCGCTCGAAAGTCAGTTTACCAACAAAAAGCTATTTTTATTCTATTATTCTATTTTAATTTGGACACTGACGGTTGACATCGACAATTCCGTGTTACTATAGGCATTGCTCAGTAAGCATTTCTTTTCCCAATTAAGCCTGTATTGATAAATGATTAAAAAATCCCCGTGAGCAAGCATATGGTGAGGTGAACTGCTTACGTGTACACTCAAAAGGAAAGGTTCTTGGATTCAAGAGAATTCCATTGAAACTTATAATCCACATCACACTATAGAGAATTAAATGAAACGATTTCTGAGAGTAGAAAAGCTATTCGATAAGTGTAGTCAACAAGTGAAAGCATTAGTACATAAAGCACTTTACAGAAAGCTAATTTGGACTTATAAACAGCAATATATTATTCAAAATAATCAAATTAAAAGAGCAAAACACAACAAGAATGATTTGCGTTATTTACACCCTATACTCATACTTATTCTAATTAAATCTCTAGTGTATAACATTTTACGCCAGTGTTTGTAGTGGGTGTGCCCCGTTGCCTCCACGGAAAAAACCTTCAAAATAAATTGTGGAGTAAAAACAAAAGTACCTTCTCTGCAAATTATGGACGGGAATTCGAATGTTGGCAAAATAAACCTAGGATGATGGAGCAAAATCTTTATAGTTTCTTCAAAAAGTTAGTATTCAAAATTTCGGATTTTTTTTTTATTTTTTTTTTAATCCTTCAATTTAGTTTGGAGGAGTTCTCTCTCAAAACCATCTCGTGCTAGAGGCCCCTCGTAAAATGTGCAGAAGAAAACTAAAACAACACCAAGCTCTATACGCTAATTGGATATCGTTAGTATGCAAACGGGGGCCGTTCAGGTGGTTTCGCACGCTTCGCTGGTGGTGGGTTTGCGCGGCAGGTAAGCATTCTGAAGCACCCCTGGTATGGGGCAGACAGCTTCCAACAGTGCAATTCTGATGTGTCGAGGAGTACAAATGACGAAATACCACGGCTCTGTGATCGGTGAGGTCCATTTTAAATGAGTACAAATTAGCACAGTGAATTGCTAATACTTACTTATTGGGTCAGGCGCTTATCAACCCTTGTCATTCACGAAAATTTTGTTTTTGTTTATTTACAAAGATTGTGCCGACGGCGGACGTGGATTTATCCAAGATTTAAAATGAAAGATAAATAATTTTCTATTTTGTAAGTTTCTCTATGCGAGGAAAATTGCGCGCGTTTCTTACAGTGAGTCTAAGTCCTAAACTAGTTTGGTTAGTTTTTATTTTTACAAAAAAGCAAGGAAAGCTACAAGTTTAGAGAAAACTTAATAGGACTGTACTTATGAGTAAGAAAGCTGCACTATTATTAGTTGGCAAAAACATCAAGAAAACTGTGACTTTCACTATAAAAGCACTTCCTGTGAACGCGTCGTCATTGTAGCAAGAGAATGACAAAATATTAAGGAAAAAACGCCAGTACAAATTAGAGAGTCAGCGTGGATTTTAAAACAAAAACAAACACAGAATGTAAATAATATCCCGTGCAATGGCAAATAACAGCACTACAAACTGCACAAAGCAAATTTTCATAATTGTCATTGAAACGGTTTTCTTTATTTAAAATGAGTCATCCTCGGAGTCATCACATCACTTTATGGACCACACTGACTCCCCAACTGGCAGACAGTTTATGGGGTGAAAGTGCTAGCGTACAATAAAATATAGAGGCCTACGGGGGCCCCTCTGCTTTTGCCTGCACGACCTCCAGCAGGCACACAGTGGGTTTACCTGCACAAAAGTTATCTATGGTATGTGGCCGGGGCAGCCTGGAGTAGGGGGGCTGGAGCGCCGGGTCCAGGCCGTGGGGGAACGCCTCGCTCACTGTGGGGCAGGACACACACACAGGCTACCTTCAGCACCGAGCACACTCGCTAGGCCGGCAGGCCGGCAGGTTGCCGCCACCCACTTTATCCAGCCGGGATTGAATTAGCTCGCGCCAGTGTCAGGCGCAGCGCACGCCTGCCCGGGCATCCATAAAGAGATTGTCGCCCTCCCGGCAGGCAGCAACACGGGCGCATCATCAGCCTGACGTCGTAAATCAAATCGCTGCTCCCTGCGTAACACGCCGCACCACCTACAGCGTTTTTATTATGTTTTGCAGCAGCGTGTCCCTAGCAGCCCACGACCGGCAGCTTTTTTCTTTCTTTTTCGCCCTTTCGTTGTAAAATATGGAAGACCATGTGACACATGGCCGCACCGATTTGTAACGGCGGGAAATAAAACATAAGCTATATCGTGCTAAAACATGGGGCGAATTCGAGACCGGGCACACAAAGAACATGCAAGTCTACCGCCGAAGAGCGAGGGGTTTTAGGTGAGACCCACGTTATTCGCGAGACGCCTGAGTTCATGCCGCTGCCTCGACCAGTCCGGATGCTAGAGGGGGCAGCAGACTCCCAGTCCGCCGAGTAATCAGAAGCTCGCAGGACATGGTAAAAAAAAGTTTCTTGACAATTACAGCACCTTGATGGTTTTTTTTTCTGTTCACTGGGACAGCTCCTACGTTATCAAAGACTCCGTGAACAAGTTTCAATATATACCAGGTAGATGTACGCCAGACCACGTCTCGCGTAACAGGCTTCGCGATATCTCACGAAACACTGCTACGCTGCGACGCGCCTGGCATACATCTACCTAGGCCTGCGGCGCTGACACCCGAGTCGGGCAAAAGGCAGAGTCGTAGATAGGCTTTCGGCTCCAAAGGACACAAATGTTCCCCCCAGGACTTTATTTTGACGAGTTGCCCCACCAGAGTCCATCAAATGTCTGAGAAACAACATTAATATAAAAAGGGGTCATTTTCAAGTGGAAATCGCCCTCTGGCGCCTCAACGGTTAGAGATAGAGCCAAACGGACGAAATTTTCGCCCGAAGGGCTCTACTTTGATGAGTTACCCCTTAGAAAACATTTTAAAAAATGTTTTTTAAAAATGTCATTTTGGGGACCTATGGTTTTTGATTTTTTTTAAATCCGATTTTTGAGCTAGAATGCTCTTCTTCGAACTTGATCTGTCTTTTAATGACACACAAAACGACCCTGAAAATCCCAGGTCGCTAGCTCAATTCGTTCTCGAGTTATCGTGCGCACAGACAAACACACACACAGACACACAGACAGACAGACGCGAAACCATTTGATCATCACTGGAGTAATAGGCTTCGCTATCGCTCAGCCAATCACTATTTCGTTGAACTTCATTCCTGTGTACAAATCAGTAACACATTAACATTCTTCACAAGAAATAAATGACATGTTCTGCAGAACATGTGAACACATGTGAACCGATTTTTCACGGCTTTGTAGAACTTTAAAATACGTCCACAGTGTAGACTTAACAGACGCATGCGTTAATCTTCCAAATGATTGGATGCATTTTTTCAACATTGCTTCATTTAACTCTAATCTACTAAAGAGCTATTTATGGTGCACGTGTCGAACCGCTGTGGGTGCGGGTTCGGTCTACACTCCTAGCGGCTGTCCCGAGGGGCCCCCTGTACACGAGGAAAAATAGTCGCAAGATACTCGCGACAACTCGCGAGAAAATCGAGAAATACTCTCAAAATACTTGCGGATACTCGCCAACACTCCCGTAAACTCGCGGATACTCGCCAATACTCTCGTAAACTCGCGGCAATTCGCGCAACTCACTGTACACCCACTTGGAGAGTAGGGGACCCGTCGGGCTGTCCAGAGCTTCGTGTCCAACCTGCTCGGACCTGCTTGTTTTTAACTCCCAGGAGCTTACATGAGCTGAATCTGTTACGGCATTCCTGTGAGCAAGTGATTTTTCACAGTGGACTCGGGAGTCTGCTGCCCCCAGCTACCCTTGGCGGTCAGAGCAGAACTCAGCACCGCTGGTGAGGTTTCATGGGCCCCGAGAGGATTTCCTGGGTTTCCTCGGTAGTCTTGGTCTAGGCAACGCCGCTGTCATCAGATGCACTATTACCCACATGCACCCCACGCCCTTCGGCACAGAAAGGACACAGAAAGGGCTGAAAGTAATACTCGTTCCAGCCCGAAGTTACCAAACACAGTTCATCCACAAAACTACTGTACATAAAACAATTCAACGATTACTCCAAAGCGCAACATAGATTGTAATATAGCAACACAGACGAATACGAGGAAGTTACACCTGCTGGCTTATTGGCCCATCCACATCCGTAGTTACGCACACACACACGCGCCTGTAGGTTGGCTTGTCTGCCGCCTCTCACCATCCTGACCATGGCCCCTATCTCTCAATATCGGTTGGCGTCTTTTGAAGCCACAATACTAGACGCCAAAATTTGGCGAGCAAAGACGCCAGTTATTGGCGTTCTCTTGAACAACACCAACATTTGGTGTCTTTGCACAATAAAATTTGTTATTCCGCATTTGGCGTGGAAGCCAGTTATTAGCTTCTGACGCCAACCCCATTTTCAGAGCAGCCCAAAGGGGTTGGCAACCCACCCGCACCCAACCGTGCGGTGCAGTTTAACTACTGAGTGAGCGGAGCAAATCAGCCTCCAGGTACAGTTCTTAACCATTTCCAGGTTTCATTTATTGGATACATAAGTTCTGGTTTTCTAGTATTCCTAGATATTGTCAGATATTTGTCATCCTTGATTTCGGCAACAGGTTGACATTTTCGGCGTTGAACGCTTGGGCTGGGCTACTCACAGGCGCTGACGGTGGCCGAGCGGCCGGGCGGCTTGGTGGAGCAGGGCGCCGCGACGCTCTCGGCCCTGCCGCGGTGCCTGCGGCTGATGGCGTCCATGGAAGTGGCGTGCGGCACCCTCAGGCCCGCCGCGCCAACCGTGCCAGCTGCGCCCGCGGGCAGGCTGTGGGCCTGGGTCGCGGCCGCGCACCCGCGAGCCCCCTTGGGAGGGCTGCTGTCCCAGCCTCCGGGGCTCGACACCTGCGCCACAAGGCGGCCAAAGGGCCGTGGGTCAGTGCGGGCCACAGGCGGCCAAAGGACCACGGTTCGTGCCGACGGGGCCACGGGCCAATGCAGGAAGGATCAAGGAGGCGGGTCAAAGGGTCAAAGGCAACCACAGGTGGCGAAAAGGCAAAAAGTCCACGGATCAGGGCGGGGAGGGGAGGGCCAGAGGCGTCCGAAGGGACAAGGGTCAGTCCGGGCCACAGGCGGCCCATGGACAACGGCTACGGTCGTGCTGGCGGCGGGGCTACTGGCCAATGCGGAGAGGGCCCAGAATGCGGCCAGAAGAGCCACAGGACACGGCCATAAAGGGCCCCAGCGGCCCCAGCTGGTGCGGAGACACAGCCTTTTGGAGCCCGATGGCGGACAGTGTTCAGGGCGGGCGGGGCAGGTGCAGCGGCGCGGAGCAGAGGTCACGGTTAATTAAACCCCTCGGGGAGGGCTCCGCTGGGCCCCGCCGGGTCCCCCTTAAAAGGGGCAGCTGGAGCGCGGGTGTGAAGAGCCAGCAGCGCGGCGACAAGAACAACGGCACGGGGGGACGAATAATGTTGACCCCGACCCGACCGTCAAAGTGATGAGGCGGTACCAGGGATCACGGGCGCCTCGGGCCCTTAGTTAATTTTGCAATTTTAAAAAGGGTTCTTTACATTCTGCTTGTTCGCACGCCACGCCGTTCAGCTTACCTAACCGTGAGACCTTCAGCTAAACAAGATTACAGGCATCAGAAAATTAATTCCACCCGTACTCACCACCTCTGGGGAGGCGATGGGCGCCCCTATGATACCCGTGAGTCCACTCGGTCCTGGTGGTGCCTCGCCCCCGGAGCCGCCAAGCCCCGGGGGCGTGGACGAAGCCTTCGGCCCGAATGGCGCCTGCGTCCGGGGCTGCTGCGTCCGCTCCGGCCGGCTGTCCTTGTCCCCGTCGCAGTCCCTGTCCCACTCGCGCCCCTCTCGGCCCTCCCGTGCCGGCTCCACAGTCGGCGGCGGCGGGGACGATATCAGTCTGAAACAAACGAGGCAGATGCACACTAAACCCTCGGGCATTTAGTTGTGCATAAACATGCACACTTAAAAGCAACCATACCATAAGTATGCACATGTTTTTTAATGGGTAATCATCAACAAATTGTACATAACTAAGGTCAAATTTTACGTAGTTCTGCATGAATTTGTGCATTATCTTAGGGCTGCTATTAATTCTCCATGTTTATGCACATCAAAATGCAGAAGGTTTTGGTGAGTGGGTGGTGAGCGGTAGAGCTGCGGCCCCGGCGGCACCAGCCCTCTGTGTGGCACACGCGCTGGCGGTCGGATGAGGGAGACAAGGACAGACGACCCCGGGGTAAAGCCACCACACTCGTAGCGAACCAGCAGGGGTGAAAAAAAAAAGGAAAAAGGACCGTGTGAAATATCAGACGCGAAGCCGCGGTCCTCGCGGTGTCGACTCACCTTTGCTGCAGGCCCTCCTCCTCCTCCTCGACCCCGCCATCGCTGGGCGGCGTGAGGTAGCCCCCCAGCCGCAGTCCCCGCAGGCCCCGCTCGCGGAACGACTGGCGAAACGATCTGCGAGCGCGGTCAACTGGAAAACCAAACGGCCTCGTTTCAAAACGCGTCACTGCCTTGGAAATTGAGGCGCGCGCCAGTAGTAGGGGAGAAAACGAGTGAACAGTGACTGCCAATAAGCGGCCAGGGTATTTCGGGGGGTGCTTCGGGTCTGGGACGCCACTCACACTTGCTGAGGCGGTTTATCGGGCTGGGCGACTCCTGCTCCACCGCGGGCGGCTGCGCCGAGAGGTCCTCGAAGTTGATGATGTACAGGCAGATGTCATCCACCTCGCTCTTCACCGGCGCTATCACTTCCGAGCAGAGAAATTTGGTCCCTGGAAGAAATTTTCAGTACAATGTCAAGTACAATGCCAAACGAGGACGTTAACTGATGCCCCCCCCCCTCTCACTCTTCTGTTTTGCCTGAAGTGCAAATAAAAGTGCGACGGTTACTGACCATCCTTCCGGTAGTAGAGAATCTCGAAATGGCGCTCGGCGGACTGGCTGAGGGCCTCCCTGACGACCGACACGGCGTGCTGCGAGGTGAGCGGTCCGTGCAGGAAGTCGCACACGGCGGGGCGCTGCATCACCTCGGCGCGCGAGAAGCCCGTGAGGCGGCAGAAGCCGTCCGAGCAGTAGATGATGTAGCACGTCTCCAGCGGCGGCGGCTCCGGCAGCAGCTGCTCCACCTCCCGCTGCGCGGACAGCGCCTGCACGTTCGCCACCAGGAAGGACCGGTCTGCGGAGGGAAAAGAGAACGTCGTGTATAATTCGCGTAGTGAGGGTCGACCGCGAGGAAGGCGTAGAGCAGGTTGCCTACGTGTTTTTCAGCGGTTGTGTCGCTCGAATTGGCTACCTCCGGGCTGACAACGAAACGGTCGCCGCAGTCCGCCCCCTCCCACCCCCTTTAATACGCGCCTGGTAAATGCGCTCCCTTCGCATCTAATGAACGATCTTGGAAAAGTAAGCTCCAAGTTATTCGAGTTATTCAAGCTGCACTCGGCAATATAAAGAAAGATTATCCGCGAATCTACCTGCTGCACACAGCAGCCCCCCCTTCAAGGTGCGGTATTTGCCCCTGGGCTTATCTTCCCCGTAAAACTCATTTTTAATCTGACGGTTGCAGCGTCAGCGTCAGACTAAGTCGCGTGGAAAAGCCGGGCCTCTCCAGCGGAATATCGACGAGATCCCTCCCTCCACACCCCCATCCCACGCCGGGGTGCCCCTGCCCCGCTGGTCCCTCGGGGCACGCCGAGTGTCTCTAAACGTTTGGCCTCGCTCCTTGAGACCAGACTGCCTTTTTCGCAATTGCAATTGCGCACGAGTTTGAGTACTGCGACGCGCGCCAACGCCTCGCCTAGCGTAGCCGGCCTCCGACGGGAGCCCTTAACCCAGCCGAGGCCCGGTGGCGAGGCGGGGCGGAGTGGTCCGGGGTGGGGCTGGGT